GGGTCTCTTGTGATACAATAGTGAATAATTATTATCAGGACTGATTGTGAGGGTTGGAAATGTAAAGGTAGATGTTTTATAGCAAGGAAGGGAGTGATTAACTTTCTGGTCTAGGAGCGGAGGTCCCTAGGACAATAAATGGAGAAGAGCAGAGAGTGGGACCCTACCCAGAGAAGCAGTGATGCCTGAGATGGAGGCAGAGATGATGACGTGGAGCGATGGAGCAGCTGGGGACTTTTGATCCAGAGAGGGAGAACGACTGTGTGCTGAAGACTTGGGGGTGGGGAGTGGGTGGGGGGAGGAGAGTGGGAGGAGCAGTGTAGGGGTCAGGCTTGCAGGGTATATACCCTTTGGTTGGTTGATGATACATGGAGGGGATTGTAACCATGGCAGTGAGATGATATATGATAGAATGAATGTAAAACTAATGTTCTCCCATGTAAACTATCATATAATTCACAATAAAACATTAAAATAAATAAAAGAAAGAAAAGGCTGTTTTGAAAAAGAAGCAAATGAATGTTTCAGAAGAGGTGGTTGTAAAGTTCTTCTTTACCTTTAAATGTATACTCACAATTTCCTATAATAAATATGCATGATACTTATCAGTAAATCTTTTTAACTTTTACAGATTAATAAAATATCCTTTTCCATAAAATATTCACTACTGCCTAGAGCTAGAGCAGCAATGATTAGACATATACTCAATGGGAATTTAAGTAAGCAATTTCCTGGATATGCATTCGGTATTCTTCAAATGTAAGCTAAAGTACTGACAGGAGGATGCTAGTGCCAGTGGGCTTCTACTCCCCACTCCACCACAGCTTTTTGGATTCTTACCAACCCCAGTGTCCTGAGGTCAGACTGAGACCTGAGCAGCCCCTGTTTACTCAGAAATGTAACAGACCATTCCAATTTGGATGTCTTTTAAAAGCAAACAAGCTAGTTCCAATGTTTAAATCCAATCTAGGGGAGGGCCTAATAGAACATAGAAGTCCAGGAATAAATCCATGTCTTGGAAAAAGTTCCAAAATTATCCCAACTTCCTGGATATCCCGGGAAAACTTCAAAATGAAACCAATCCATATAATAAAACTTAGAAATAAGGCACCATCTGTCCCAACTTTTTCAAGAGTACCACTTAACAATACTTAGATCTTTAAGTAAGGAACTCAGTTTTGAAAGAGTCAGAGTTAGACTGCACCTTTAAAAGTTCTTAGATGCAAGCTTTTCTACACATTTTAAATAAAGGAAACTTGTTAAAAGAGCAAATACTGCTTTTATAAAGCATTACAATTCTTGTTGCCATGTAGCATATCACACACTAAACCACTGTGTGCCTAATACTTTTCAAATATGCACAAGTTCCCCATAACTGTGGATCAAATTGCTATCAGTTGCTGACCTTGGGAAGACTGTGAATCCAAGCTTGTTTTCTGAGTCCCAAAGTCCTCTTTCTGTCGTTTTGCCCCGACAGTGCTCTTTCCCTCCTGCTCATATGCCAGTTCTCTTGTCTTATGTCTTCACAGTCAATAGGTCAGAAAGGACCACAGAGGTAATTTAGCCCAATGCTCTCATTTTAGAAACAAGCAAACTGAAACCAGAGAGCTAAAATGACTTACCCAAAGCCACACAGCTTCGATGAAGTCGAGATCAGAGCCAGGCCTCTGAAGCCCTGTGCAGTGCTCTTTACATCATAGCAAACAGATTCTTAGAAATGTCTAAGGTTGATGTGTAACTTCACAACCCTCAGTCTCTCCTCTCTGGGTCTTTTCCTTTTGGGCTGAAAAAATTCCTCCACTTTTTATCACCAATAACCTCCTTTCTTATTAATTCTATGCCGTTAAAAAATACTATTCGTTTACACTGATTTATTTACTGATAGCATTTTTGTTGGTTTTAATTTTATATTTGTCCTTGAAAATGAAAAACAAAGAACCACCTTAAACCCACTTCCACTGAATCTATTCTGACTTAGACGCTGTAGGACAGGGTAGAACTTTTCCCACTGGCCCCACACAGGTTCCAAGACTATTCATCTTTACAGGATCAGACAGCCTCATCTGTCTCCCACAGAGTGGCTGGTTAGCAATCCAATACTTCACCTACTGTATCACTGTTGTTGAGACAAAAACCTGTATAGGGTTTCCGAGTAACAACTGGTGAGTTTGAACCTACAACCTTGTGGTTCACACCGACCTTGTGGTTGAGTGCTTATCCTACAGAGGCACACCAGAACTTCATGCTTATCTTTGCTGTTGTTGTTGAGTGCTATTGAGTTGGTTCCAACGCATAGGATTTCAGAGGAGTGGCTGGTGAATTTGAACTGCCAACATTGAGGTTCAGCTGACATTGTGGTCCAATGCATTATCCTGCAGCACCACACCAGAATTATAGTGACTATAGTTACTATTGTTGTTGTTGTTGTTAAGTACCATTGAGTCAGTTGCAACTCAAAGCGACCCTGTACAGGGTTTCCGAGGAGTGACTGGTGAGTTTGAACCACAAAGGGCCCATGCATATCCTGTTTGTTGCTTGGTTGGTTATGTGCCCGTGGAGTTGGTCCCGACTCATAGCAACCCTGCACAGGGTTTCTGAGGCTGTAAACCTTTACGGGAGCAGAATGTCTCGTCTTTCTCCTGCAGAACAGCTGGTAGTTTCGAACTGCTGACCTTGAGGTTAGCAGCCCAACTCGTAACCACTACGCTACCAGAGCTCCTTCTGCTTATTCTTGTTGTTGTTGTTAAGTGCCATTGAGTCAGTTCTGACCCATAGAAACCCTGTATAGGGTTTCTGAGGAGCAGCTGGTGAGATTGAACTGCCGGCCTTGCAGTTCAAATGGCTTTGCAGTCCAGCGCATTAACCCACAGCACCACACCTGCTTATCCTAGGGCTCCTTAAAACAAACAAACAAAAAACACCTTAACACTTTCCAAATCTAGATAACAGAAAGCTGAATAACGTATACCCACATTGTCAATTCAGAAAAAAGCTAAGTAACAATAGGTTCATATTTTTCATAAAGCAATGCTAGAAGATTTAGTTCATTTCCTTAAAATAGGAGATAGAAAGTACATATTGATTCCATTTTCATACTCACCACAAAAGTGATCTGATTGTGTCGCAGGTTAAGTTCAGCTAGTGAATCCAGGCCTTTGAGGTTATCCACATGACCTAAAAGGTTCCTGGCAAGGTTTAAAACTCGCAAATCACACAAATGATTGACATTTTCAATTTTGGTGATCTGTTAAAAACGGGGAAGGAACGATTAGCAGGCATAAATATCAGATATACATGTTACAAAACCCTAAAAATAAAATGGTCAAAGCCACTGCATTCAGTGACAAGTTTATACGAGAACATTTAAAAATCTATTTCCAACTGTCTATATTCCAGATAAGACATCATCTAACTTGTAAAAATAAACTGCTGCTGCTGAGTGCCAGCGGGTCAGTTCCAAGTCACAGCGACCCTGTAGAGGGTTTCTGAGGCTGGAAATCTTTACAGGAGCAGAAAGCCTCATCTTTGTCCCACAGAGCAACTGCTGGGTTTAAACTGCTGCCTTTGTGATTGAGCAGCCCACCATGTAACCCACTATGCTATGAGGGCTCCTTCTAAAATCAACTAGAGGAGCATGTCTTTTAATTTCACCCTGGTAAATATCTGAAGTAAATTTTATCAAAGAATCCCAGAGTCCATCATTTGGACATCTTGGAGCATCTTCCAAATACCCAGCGCTGTACCAGGCCCATGGGGACTGGGAGAAGCATCGGCACCGCCTGCAAACAGCATAAGCTCACAACGTATTGACCATGCAAGTCAAAAGGGAGAGAAAAGGAATGAAAAGTAAGTTTTCCTTGTTAATTCCCTTATATTTCAGGGGCGTGAGAGCCTTTGAGAGTCTGAATGGGAAAGACAAGAAATTAGGCTTCTCAGTGGAGGGCGAGACTATCCTTCTATTAGTAAGAGTGCTTCAGAGAAAAGATGGAGGGTATTTAGTCAGGGTGCAATATGGTGGAGACAGTTATTTGGAATGGGAGTTTGGTGGCTCCATATGATAAGCACTGGATTGTGAACAAGGTCTGCAGTTTGAGACCTCAAGCCACTCCACAGTGGAAAGATGAGGTTTTCTGCTCTTGCTAAGATGTAAAGCTTCATTAACCCTCCACAGGGGCATTATGAGTCAGGCAGACCAATTTCACAGTACTTAACAACAAGCAGAAACAACTGTTTAGAACAAGAATCTAAATCATGAAATATGCACAAATGCATAAACAATGAATTGCAGAAGAGTTTGGATAATAAGATGAAGGTACATAAATGCTTTCATACCATGAAGCAATGAGAATTCAAATTAATTTTAAGCCCTTGCCAGTTGTAATAGAGCAAGTATAACACAGAAGGATGAAGTTTGACCAAGAGAACAAATTCTTGTAGATCAACTGAAAATTTAACTCAGAAATTGGGAGTAAATCCTTAGATTCATCCATATTTCCCATTAGTCATATATAATCAATTGTTAAACCTTGATGTGTCTACTTTTAAAATATGAGGGTGTATCAAAAAGTATTTCTACAAGATCATAGAAGCCTTCATTCAACACAAATATAAAAATGTGAAGCTATCTCAATACACCCTCCATCTAGATCTCTACACGTCTCAGGTGGTGTTTCCATGTGTCAAACCCTTCTCCGAATAATTGTGATTTACACCATGCCAAAACAGCAGTTCAGGCATCCTTGAGGAATTCAAGCATTCCTTTAAAGTGTCCTTTGAGTTTGGGGAACAAAAAGAAACAAGATCAAGGTCGTAGGGTAGATGGAAGAAGGCTTCCTAACAAAATCCTTGCAGGACAGCCCTTGCTACTTTTGAAGAATGAGCAGGAACTCACATCTTAACATCATGGTGGGGAAAAAAAACTTCCTCAGCACAATTTCATGGCCTTTTCCTCCCAATGCAGTTTTCCACTTACTTAAAACTTTTCATAATAAGTCCCCATGATTGTCCAAAATCCTTTGAGAATACCTACAAGTTTAGCTCTTTGGCATCCCAAAAAACAATCACTATGACCTTCTGACCTGGCTTCTCTGTCTTGAATTTAACTGGCCAGAAGATCCTCTCCAGAGTCACTATTTTGAATGGACCATTTTATTTTAAAGTATCAAGACAAATGTATTACTGAGAGAACTTGTCTGCAGCCATCCAGTGACCGCAGAGACACATTTAGACATGTTTTGTTTGGAATCAACTAGCACGTGTATGAAATGGAACTCTAATAGCAATATTTTTTAACTTAACCTTGTATTTATCTAGTCTGTCCTCTTGCCTCTATCACCTCTCAACAGGACTATAAAATTCGTCTCGCAACTCTTTTCTGTCTCCAAGTTCATCTCTCTCCAACTCCTTTCATTTCCTAATCCATTTCCAAAACACCATTATCATCAGTCCTCAAAATGTTTTTACATCCATAAAACAACATTTATTTCACAATGGACACTGAGTAAGTATCAGAACATTTTTATTTCTATTAGAGGTAAATTCAAAAGGCAAATAGCATTCCCTTAGTTTTCTTCTAGTTTCTTTTACTACCTGATGTTAATTCTTTTACAACTGGACATGAGTTCTTTCATCTTGAAAAGATTACCTCCTGACAGTTTAGAAACATAAGGACATCTAAGACATTTGTGTTAAAACAGCAAACACTAGATGGAAACATTTAGTATACCTTTTTAAAATTTAAAAACAATACTACTAAAACAATATGTTCTTTACACACGTATTTTGTTGTTAGTTGCTGTCAAGTTGACTCTGACTCGTGGAAACCTCTGTACAGCAGAATGAGAGTCACCTGCTCCTACAGCATTCTAACAAATGCCAGTACATCTGAGTCCATCATTGGGGCTACTGCAATCCAGGGCCTTGTGGGCCCTCTACTTTACCAAACATGACGTCTTCATCTAATGGTTGATCCTTCCTACTAACATGTCAGATAATATGGTCTGCTGTGACCCATAAGACTTTCACTGGTGCTCTTTGGAAGTAAATATTGTTGTTAAATGCAGTCAAGTCGGATTCTAACCGATAGCGACCCTGTATAGGGTTTCCAAGGAGCAGCTGGTGAACTTGAACCACAGGCCTCCTGGTTCAAGTGGACTTTGGAAGTAGACTGTTGTTGTTAAGTGCTGTTAAGTCAACTCCAACCCATTGTGACCTTGTATAGGGTTTTGGAGGAACAGCTGGTGAGCTTGAACTGCCAACCTTGCAGTTCAAATGGCTTTGCAGTCTGGCGCATTAACCCACAGTGCCACATCAGGAATCCTTGGAAGTAGATAGCTAGCCCCTTATCCTAGGTTACATTATCTTAGTCTAGAAACTCCGCTGAAACCTATCTACCACGAGTAACCTGTTGGTATTTGAAATACCAGTGGCATATCTTCCAGCCTCACAACAAACAGACATATGGGTGATGGAGATGTGAAGATGCTTCAAAAAGTTTGTAGAAAAATTCCATTATTTTTTCATCTAATTTTTCCTCAAATTTTTTGAAGCCACCTCAAATTGGTAGAGAAACAAACTAATAGATGTACAAAGAAATGGTAAGTGTGAGATCCAGAATAGTGGTTATCTCTGATGAGGAAGCAGGGAGATAGAATAAAGGGGGAACACTAAACTAGGGGAGAGGAAGGGTACTGGGGATCTAGCAGTCCTGGGATGGCGCTGTAGAAAAAGCACTGGACCGCAGGTCAGTTTGAATGGCAAGGTCAGCACTTCAAATTCACCAGCTGCTCCCTGGAAACCCTATACAGGGTCGCTATGAGTTGGAACCAATTCACTGGCACTAAACAACAATGTGTATTCGGAGTCCTGGTTTAGCACTGTAAGGTAAGCTCTAGGTCGCAGGGTAGATTTGAAGTACAAGGTCAGCAGTTGAAACTCAGCAGTCGCTCTTCAGAAACCTTATGTTGTTGCTGTTGTGAAGTGCCGTCGTGTCGGTTCCGACCCATAGCGACCCTGTACAGGGTTTCCAAGGGTGTAAATCTTTACGGGAGTAGAAAGCCTCATCTTTCTCCCACGGAGCGGCTGGTAGTTTCGAACTGCTGACCTTAAGGTTCGCAGCCCGATTCGTAACCACTATGCTATCAGAAACCTTATACAGGGTCACTATGAGTCAGAACCAACTCGATGGCACTTAACAACAGCAACAATGCATATTTATAAAATAATTAATAAAAGACTAAATTTTAAAATGTTATAATTATGAGAACTATACATTTTAGTGTCATTTACTAATGAGGAACTACCAAATTTTATATATTGTTGTTGTGTGCCATTGAGTTGGTTCTGATTCATAGCAACCCTGTATAGGGTTTCCGAAAAGTGGTTGGTGAGTTTGAACCACTGACCTTGCAGTTCACACCAACCTTGAGGTCAAGTGCTTATCCTACGGTGTCACCCATCACTCATCTGTCAGTTTGTCATACTGTGGTGGCTTGTGTGTTGCTGTGATGCTGGAAGCTATGCCACTGATATTTTAAATACCAGCAGGGTTACCTATGGTGGACAAGTTTCAGCAGAACTTCCAGACTAATCCAGACTAGAAAGAAAGAGAGGTGGACCACTTCTGAATGGTTAGCCACTGAAAATTTCACGAATAGCAGTGGAACATTGTCTGATACAGTGTCCAAAAATGAGCCTGTCAGGTTGGAAAGCACTCAAAATATAACTGGGGAAGAGCTGCCTCCTCAAACTGGAGGAGGCATTAATGATGTGAATGAACGTTTATTTGTTGATGGAGCACAACTCAAAATGAGAAGAAACAGCTGCAAGATCCATTAATAACTGGAATGTGGAATGTATGAAATATGAATCTAGGAAAATTAGAAGTCATCAAAAATGAAATGGAATGCATAAAGATTGACATCTTAGGCATCCGTGAGCTGAAATGAACTGGTATTGGCCATTTTGGAGTCAGAAATCATATGTTTATCATGACAGGAATGACAAACTGAAGAGGACTGACATCACTCATGATCAAAATGAACATTTTGAGATCTATCTTGAAGTACTATGCTGTCTGTGATAGGGTAATATCCATACACCTACAAGGAAGACCAGTTAATACAACTATTATTTAAATGTATGCACCAACCACTAAAGCCAATGATGATAAAATTGAAGAATTCAACCAACTTCTTCAGTCTGAAATTGATCAAATATGCAACCAAGATGCATTGCAATGCAAAAGCTGGAAACAAAGAGGAAGGATCAGTAGTTGGAAAATATGACCTTTGTTACAGAAATGATGCTGGAGATTTATTCATTGCAAACACCTGTGTTCAACAATAATGGGAACTATATACATGGACTTCACCAGCTTGTTTAAACATGAATAAAACTGACTACATTTGTGAGAAGAGATGATGGAGAAGTTCAATATCATCACCCGAAACGAGGCCAGGGGCCAACTGTAGGACAGTCATGCAAGTTCAGGCTGAAGCTGAAGAAAATTAAAACAGGTTCACAAGAGCCAAAATATAGCTTTGAGTGGATCCCACCTGAATTTAGAGACCACCTGAAGAACGGATTTGATGCATTAAGCACTAATGACCGAAGACCAGAAGAGTTGTGGAATGACATATAAAACACCATACATGAAGAAAGCAAAAGATGATGAAAAGACCAAAATGGATGCCAGAAGAGACTGTGAAACTTGCTCTTGAATGTACAGCTAAAGCAACCATGTTTGGTCAAGTGGAGGACCAGCGAAAAGGAGGAAGATCCCAATGAGATCGGCTGACATAGTAGCAGTAACAATGGAATCAAACATAATGTTGAGTATAGGACAGGACCCGGAAGTGTTTGCTTCTATTGTGCATAAGGTCAGGACCAACTTGACGGCACCTAACAGGAAGTTTAAGTTACTTGGTAAAATAATTCTTGAAAAATTCAACACAAACTAAATTCAATTCAAATATAATAAAAATTCTAAATTTTTACAATAGTAAACTTCCTGGATTGTTTTCAGTATTAAAGAAATGAAAGGGGACTTTACAATACCTGATTTCCATGAAGGTCCAAGACATCTAAGCTTTTTAGAGTCTCCAGATTTGAAATTTTTCTAATTCTGAAAATAAGAATGAGTAGAAATATGGATATATAACATTTCTTTGTAAATTAAAACAGGCTAAGATATAAATTATTTTAACATATGTTCATTTATACATTTTTTACAACAAAGCATATTTCCCAATAACTTAATTATCATTTTAAAGATATAATTAAACGGGGTGAAAAATATACCAAGAATAGCATAAAAGACATTTTAAAAATAAATAAATAAAAACAATTCCATCAATAGGAATAGAAGTTAGTTCTTTGTAAGATAAATAAAATGGACAAACTATTGGCCCAACTGACAAAGGAAAAGAGTGAGAAGATGCAGGTAACTAAACTAAGAAATGAACTGAATGGCATTGTTACAGAACCAACACATGGTTCAGTACTAGAAAATTGATCAAGCTAACTCATCACATGACTAAAGCAAAGAAGAATCATATGATTATCTCAATCGATGCAGAAAAGGCATTTAATAAAAACTCAACACCATCTCCTAATAAAAAATTTCAGCAAAATAGGAATAAAAGAGAAATTTCTCAACATAGTTAAGGGCATACATAGAGAACCCATAGCCAACATTATCCTCAGAGAGTCAGAAAGTGAAAACACTCCCATAAGAAAAGGCATTAGGCAGCGATGCTTCCTATCACCACGTTTATCCATTATTTTACTACAACTCCTAGATAGAGTAAGAAGATAAGAAAGGGAAATAACGGTCATCCAACCTGGTAAGAAAGAAGTAAAACTATTTCTAGTCATAGATGATATGATACTATACATAAAAAATCCCAGAGGTTCCACAAGAAAACGACTGGAACTAATGAAAAGATTCAACAAAGTGGCAGGGTACGTGATCTACACACAAAAATAAATTATATTCCTCTATATTAACTCTATATTAACAAGAGTCCTGGTGTGGCGCTGTGGGCTAATACATCAGACTGCAAAGTCATTTGAACTGCAAGGTTGGTGGTTCAAGCTCACCAGCTACACAGCGTCACTATGGGTCAGAATCGACTCGATGACACTTCACAACAACAACAACAATATACTAATAAGGGAAGCCCTGGTGTGGTGCACCAGACTGCAAAGCCATTTGGACTGCAAGGTCAGTGGTTCAAGTTCACTAGCTGCTCCTCAGAAATCTTATACAGGGTCACTATGGGTCGGGACCAACTCAATGGCACTTAACACCACCAACAACAATACCAACAAGGAGACCTGGTGTGGCACTGTGGGTTAATGCACTGGACTGCAAAA